CCGCCCTCCCCGGAGTCACAGAACCCCGGCACCGCTGAGGGTGGGAAGGACCTGCGGGATCATCGGATTCAGCCTGTGCCCGATCGCCACCTGGTCACCCAGCCCAGAGAACTGAGTGCCACGTCCAGTCGTCCCTTAGACGTCGTGCCTTCAGGGATGGAGACTCCACCACTGCCCTGGCCTGCCCCTTCCAACGCCTGACCGCTCTTCGGGGAAGAAATTCTTTCTAATATCCAACCGAATCTTTCCCCTGGCACAGCTTGATGCCGTTTCCTCCTGTCCTGTCCCTGTTCCCAGGGAGCAGAGCCCGACTCCTCCAGGCTGCCCCCTCCTGTCAGGAGTTGTGCAGAGCCAGAAATTCCCCCTGAGCCTCCTCCAGGCTGAGCGCCTTCCTAGCTCCCTCAGCGCTCCTGGTGCTCCAGACCTTCCACAGCTCCGTTCTCTTCTCTGGAGCCTCGGGATAAACGTCCCGCTGCCGTCGGGATGACAGAGGGGTGCGGAGCTCCCAGAGCGGCTCGGTTCAGCAGCTGCCAGTCACAAAAGTGGCTGATTTTATTGAGGAAGTGCCGGAACCTGTAGATTTGCAAGCAAGAACTAAGCAATAATCATCAGTAGGTCCGTGAAAACTCTCTAACCCTAGCACAAGGAACATTAAAAAAAAAAAAAAAAAAAAAAAAAAAAAAGGTATGGAATTCTGAAAGCTTCATGAAACCAAATTCATCCTCCTTGAAAAGCTCAGAAGGCAAGAAGGCTTCTCAGAACTTTGTGCAACTCTTCCGCCACACTAATACAGGATTTGTCCAAGGTTACAGACATTAGAGAAGAAATATTACAAGAATTTTTGATTTTCTGGGCATTTAAAGATGTATTTAAAGAATCCTTGGGGAAAATAGCGGGGGACAAACATGCGTGATCCATATATTTAGTATTTCAATGTCTGGTTTGCCCGGGTTAACCCCGAGCCCGGGCGTCCCCGGGAGGCGAGCGGGACCTGCGGGGCTCCCTCCGGCACAGCGCCCCCGGCCGCTCCCTTCGGGCCGGACCTGCTGCTCGCTCAAGGCTTGGCATGAGACCTTTGCCTTGGCTTCGTTGCGCCTTCCCCGAGCCCCCTCTCGTGGCTGCGCGTCCGTCCCGTCCCGCTGAGCATCACACAGCAGCTCAAGTGTTCTCGGTGAAGGGCTGCCCCTCTCCGTCAGGTTGCTCTGCGGTACTCAGCTGCCGAACGGATGATTTGCCTCAAATTGTTCACTGGAGGAATCTCAGGACGGCTGCGCTGCTGAATGATCAGTGACAAGTCCCCCAGAGTAGATGGCATTTGCTCGTTAGCCTTAAAACAACTCCAGCAGTTTTCAGCAAGGTTCCAGGGGAACCCCCCAGGAGCTGTGGAGCCGAGTATCTGATATCCCCAGCGTGCAAATTATCATGACTCACTCTAATGAATAGTTAGGAGCCACAGGGCTGTTCAATATTCGTAGAAAGGCCAGATAATTGTTGGCATGCCAATATAAAATCACAAACATGGAGTTTGAATTGCTAGAACAGAAATGGTTCAGATCAGAGCAACGAGGACGAGGGCTTCAGGTGACAGAGTTCTGCGTGGAGCTCCTGTCAGTGGGGACAGTAAGGAGAGCGGCTGTTGAAAAGGAGGAGTCAGCAAGGATTCTTTTTGATAGATTTGTCGGACAAAAATAAAGCGCAAATGCAACAATATTATATCTGAGAACCGTTTATTGATGAAAAAGGGTAAGCGTTCTTACCCTTAAAGTGGGATAGGAAAAAAAGAGCAGAGAGGGAAGACGAGAGACAGAGAAGGAAAGAGAAGACAGGGACAGCGTCACCACAAGAGCCCCGGCTGTGTGTCAGCCTGGCTTGGCAGACCGAGCGTGTGTGCTGCGAGCCGCGGCGCGTCTGCGTGGCCGCCGAGGCGGGCTGGGCGCGATTTCCAAACAGCAGCGCGCTGCGCCCCTTCCTTCCTTCGCGGCCAGCGCGCTGCCGTGGCCGCGGGCGCGGCCCTGGAACAGCCGCGCGTTCTCCGGTCGGGGCGCGGCGGCTGCGGGCCGGGAGCTGCGGGAACACGGCAGCGGCGGCTGAGCGCAGACGGCGCCCGCTCCGTCGGGAGAGGAGCGGAACGCTGGGTCGTCGGGGCGGCGAGCCGCCTCGCGGGACCGGCCACGCAGGGCAGGACGGGGCACACAGGGAAACAGGAGCGCAGGGAGGAACAGGCGAGCGGAGAGGCGGCCGAGCGGACCCTACGGGCGAGACCCAAGGTACCCAAAGGAAACGGCTCCCGGTGTGTCGCAGCTAGCTGCTGCTGCCATGTGCTAACGCTCCCCCCGCAGCCCGCGTTGGCGGGCATTTGCCCTACGGGCCAGGGCGTGGAGGGCCCACTCACAGCCCGATCATGGAGACTTTTTCTGCTCTGCTTGCCTCCAGGTGAAGCCTTCTGGGGACAGGGCTGTCAGTACATCTGCAACCTCTATAAGAGTATATCATATGCTGAGGCATAAATAAAAATCAGATTGGTCCCTCTCAGGTGGGTGTGCAAGCAACAGGACAAATTATTTACAGTAAGTCAATACCAAATAATTCTCCTTGGCTGAAAAAGACTTTCAGCTGTGGGTTGTTGCAGGCTGGGCTCTCTGCACACACTCCTGGGGAGCAGGAGATGGGTTGTAGGGTGGGTGATCACCTTCCCATGCTTCATATGATAGAATGATGGAATCCCAGAATGGTTTGATTTGGAAGGAATCTTAAAGCTTGTTTCATTCCACCCCCTGCCATGTGTAGGGGACACCTTCCACTAGACCAAGCTGCTCCAAGCCCCATGCAGCCTGGCTGGATGAACACTTGAACACTTTCACAGATGGAGCAGCCACAGCTTCTCTGGGCAACCTGTGCTAGGGCCTCACCACCCTTACAGGGAGGAATTTATTCCCAATATTCAAACTAAAATCTTTCCTCTTACAGTTTAAAACTGTTCCCCCTTGTCCCATCACTCCAGGACCTCGTAAATAGTCTCCCTTCATCTTCCTTGTTGGTTCTGTTCAAGTACTGGAAGGTTGCAATTAGGTCACCACAAGGCTTTTGCTATTCCTGTCTGAACAACACCAATTCTCTCAGCCTTTCCTTAATTCTGTAAGTCATCTCTGTGGCCTCCTCTGGGCTTGCTGCAACGGCTTTGTTAAAAACAAGAGCACGCTCCTGGTACTAAAGTGATTTCAGCATTTATTATAATAAAAAGGCCTAAGCAGGGGGGCCTGCGGGCCGGGCAGGAGCAATCCCGTCGAGGATGCTGCGGCACCGGTGCTGGGGCTGCTTCAGCACCAATGTCCCCGATGTTCCAGGTGGAGCAGCACGGGTGTAGTGGGTCAGAATCCCCCTTTTTATCCTGCTTTTTGTCCCTCTGGATTGGTTTCTGTTTGGATCTTTCATTTGCATGAAGGTTTAAGGCGCTTGATTGGCCCATGACAGTTCTGTCCAGGCTGGCTCGTTTCGGCGGGGGGTGGTGCACTTAGGTGTAATATGGTGCGTTGAGTACTGTATTTCTTACAACTACCCCTTTGTTGTGTTGTATTTTTTTTTGGTTTTTAGTTATGCTAAGTTGTATATTGTAAGTTGGTTTGTTCCACTCACCCCTTTAGTTATGCAGTGGTTCTACCCAGGTTGCCTCCTCCCCTGCAATCCTTGTCAGTCTTTCTGTCTAACCCTGGTTGCCCAGTTAGGAATGTTTCTTTTGTTTTGTCTAACCCTGGTTGCCCCAGTTAGGAACGTTTCTTTTGTTTTGTCTAACCCTGATTGCCCAAGTTACGAATGTACCTTTTGTTTTGTCTAACCCCGTGCCCTGTCCCTCACTCACTACCCATCCTCTCCATCCAGAATCTTCTCTGCGGGGCATCGAGTGATTGGTTTAGGGGCTGAGGCCCCTCCCCTAGTCACTCCCCATTGGTCCCTCAGCAGTGTCCATCTTTCTTTTTCCACTCCGCCCTGCTCCTCCATTGGTTGGAAGGCAGACTCCACCCCTGTTACCCCCCCCTTTGTAATTTGCTGTAAGCCTTTTCCCACTGTCTTCAGCTTCTGGACTCCCTGGACTTTTTGTCTTCGTGCTCCTCCCAATAAACCCTGTTTCACCAGAAGTCAGGGCCTGCTTTCTTCACTCCTGTCGGCATCGGCCCAGAGTCCTTCAAGGCATTCATGCCTAAGGCTCTCTCCTTGCAAGCGCAAGTGAGGAGAGTGCACTCCTCGCTGTGGCTCTTGTGCCAAAGAGCTGGCTTGGGGCAGCCCTCAAGGAGGGCTGTTGGATGCACGTGGCCGCACCCCTTTAAACCCCTTTTACCGTAACCAAACTAACAGTACGTGCTTAACAACTATCAACTATTTTACAGTAGTTTCTTACCTGTTTTTAACAGCTTCATGTTCTTCCTGTGCTAGGCCCCAGGGTGGGAAGCATCTCTGCAGGTGAGGTCTCACTTGAGTGGGTCAGAGGGGCAGAATTCCCCCCTGCCCTGGTGCCCACGCTGGGGGATCAGCCCAGCACACGAAGGTTCTGGGTGCCTGCACATGTGGATGGGCCATGTCCACCTCTCAACCACGAGGCATCCACAAGTCCCTCCCCTCAGGACTGTTCTTGATGCCTTCATCCCCCAGCCTGTCTCTTCCCAGCAGGATTGGTTCTTCCTGAGGATGAGCATGCTGGGTCTGTGCTGGAGCAGGCCGACAGCTGCTGAGCTTTTCCCCTCTTGCTTCCAGAATGGAATTCCTTGGGACTGGAAGTCAGGCTGGCATGAGCCAGAGCCCTGGCCCGAAGCCGTGGGCACGGCCACACTGGTGTCTTTGGGTTCATCTTTGGGTTCTGGGAGCCCCTTCCCTGCCTGAGCCTTAGGATCAGGAGAGAGCCCACCCTGGTTGCAGAGCCAAAAAGAGCAGGCTCCTGTGAAAACTTGCCTGGCTGGGCCTGTCAGCCATTTGAAACCAGGCCTTTACTTGTCGTGACAGGAACTTGGCCCTGGTGTAGTTGTGGAGATTTCTGCCTCTTCCCAGGACTCCTGGACATCAGAGTGAGCTACCAAATGCCAAGAAGTTCTGCACAGCCACATCTCGGGAGAACTGGCTATGAACCACACCAACAGCCATCCCCAAAGCCCTGCAGTCTGTGCCATTGTTTCTGGTTTTTGTGAAAGATACAGCACATTGGAGTCAAGCTGTCATGTCCATATGAAGGCAAGATTATATCATTTGACAGACATTTGGGGCAGTTTCCCAGCCTGTAGGTCCAAGTTTGCTATAAACACAACTTGAAGCAAAAGGAATTGCATTAAATGCCAAGCTGGGGCTGTCCGCAACAACTGAAGATTCCTAGAAATCTTTTGGAATCCTATCCTGGTTTGGCATGAGGAGACTAGAAATGAGACCAGGAGAGGTCCCCCTTTCCCCGTGGCATTCCATGACTGACTGCACTGTCCAAGAACTCCCACGAAACCAGGCAAACATGCTCATTGGAATTTCATAGAACACTTCCCAATAACATGTATCAGTAATACATCTTCTGCAATTACAGAGTCCAATGTCAATTCCTGAATTTTACAGCTCAACCTTAATCTGTTAATCTTAACACCTATTTTTGAACAAGCTCAGACAATTTTATTGGGAACTTGAACAGAAAACAAACTTCTCCTTCTTGAACAAACTCTACCAACTTGTCTATTTACAGAAAACAGCAAATCTTTTAACAATCAAGAGCTAAACCCAATACAAACTAAAATTATTTAACATCCAACAGTTCTTAGTCTGAAAACCCCAAAATGTGTGTTTCCTTCCTTAGGCCAGATGCAGTCTTTTCTTTGGAACTGCTTCCTGTTGATCATCAGCAGACTCCACTGGTTGAGGTCTCTGCCAAATAGAGAAAAGAAAAAAGGAAATTCTCCTGTTGAAAGAATACTTAGAAAGGTGCAATTTTTGTACACTGAAATGCCATCTCTGTCCATGCCCCAGCCAGACCAGCCAGTGGGCAGGGCAAGAGCCAAGGAGTGGGCCCAGTTCAGGGATGCCAAAGATGCAAGACCAGACTGTGCCCCCAGGTCAGCAGTAGACTCCAGGGCCAGCCCATCCTTTCTTCAGGCTTCCCCCTCAGCAGTCAGGCTGTCCCTGGGCAGGGCTTGGGTGACTTGAGCCCTAACTGCAAGCCCCCCTGCAAGCCCCAGGCTGTTGCTGCCCGTGCTGCCCCTGGCGTGACGGCTCTGCTGTCCCTGGCCAGGGCAGCAGCTGGGCCCAGCTCTCCCACCTTGGGGGCCCTCAGCAGCGCCTGCAGGGCTGCCTTTTGTGAAGAGGAGCCCTTGAAGCTCGCTGGTGCTGCCTGAGCTGCCCACCCTTGGGCTGCATTGAAGCTCATTTTTTCTTTCTGCTCTGAGGCTCTTACACTTCTGCCCGAGAGGAATGGGACTCTGCAGAGACAGGCCAAGTGACTCCAGCTTTGCTGCTGCTTCCAACTCAGCCAGGATCAGCAATGACTTGCAGAGTTTGGAGGGAGTGTGGCCCATTTGGGAAGGCAATCCAGCTCCATGGGCACTTGTGTCCTCCCTGTAAGACTAGCAGGCACTAGCTGAGGCCCAGGCAGGCTGAATCCTCCCTCGCAGGGACAGAACAAGATTCTGCTCTGGGGAAGCTCAGGGCTTTCGGAGAGGAGCAAGAGCAGCTCTACTCCAGAGGCGGCTTTCCTTTCATCCTTTCATTCTTGCTCCAGAAGGAAAGCCAAGGCCAGTGCCAGCCACCTGCTCCTGCTGCCCTCTGGCAAAGAGAAAATCAAGGGGCAGCCCTGCCATAAGGCAGTCCCTGCCAGGCTCCCAGCACAGAGATTGGGGCCTACCTGTGCACACTCTGCATTTGTTGGTGCTTGTCTCTCTCATATTTCCTTTCCAATCCCTGGAATGTCTGCACGTAGGTGATGCACTCCAGTACAGGATAGAAGTTCTCAATGACGTGGGCAACCAGGGACTTACAGTCTTCCTGTGGAGGAACAAAACACGGTCTCAAGTCTCCAGTGGTCACAGGCCAAAGTTCAGAAAGCTTCCAAGTTTCCTTTGCAAAGGAACAGATTTCTTGGCCAGAGCCAAAACACTTTTGTCTGGAGCAATTGTGAAGCAATTCAGATTGATCCCGAAGGCAAGAGCTGAAATCGGGAAAGAAGGATTCCTCTTCCCATGGCAAAGGACACCAGAGTCAGTCGTGTCCGAGGCTGCTTGTGACACTTGCATTGAAGCGGGAGGCTGCACTGGTCCTGTTGAGCTGAGAGGCCACGGCCGTGTCTGAGCTGGAGCTGCTGCTGAACTCACCAGTCTGAGGAATTCAAAGAGCTCCAGCACAGCCCAGTGGAGCAGGTTGGATGTAGCTCCACCGTCCAGCAGATCCTGCACAAGGGGTGCCAAGAGGTTTCCCTGAGTGATGGAACGGGTATAAAGCTCATCCTTCAGGGCAACGATCTTCCTCAGGAAGTGCAGAACATCTTTGTGAAGAGAGAAATGCAAGGATTCCAGAGACACAGGCCAGGGCTGCAGTCCAAAAGTTCATTCCTATCCCTTCCTATGAATCTTGAGTGTCTCCTGGAACACCTTCCACCCAGGACATGCTAAGCTTGGAAGAAGAAAATGCCAAAGATTACTCACTCAAGGCCAGAAATGTGTGTTGGGAATTGATCAAGAGCATGACTCTTCTTAGCAAATCCCAGTGGAGGATGTAACCCCTTATGTGCTCCTTGTGCTGTCACACAAAAACTCAACAGCTCCAAAATTAAGAGTAGGAGTTGTGCCGTTTGATAATCATCTACGGGAAAAGTAATGCCTTCAATGAGCAACAAAGAAAAAAAAAAGGAATGTCCTGTGCCATCCACCCAGCTCAAGTGCTCCTGCACTTGCTGACATGGTTTTAGTGGACTTCAGCTTTCCTGGGTTGCTTTAGGAGGCAGAACTTTGGGGGAGAACAAAAGAACCCACACAGTGGTGACTTTTTTGGCCCTTGAAGCAAATCTTAGAAAAGATACAAGTCCAACTCCTCCACCATGAACAACCCTCCTCCAGGAGGTCCATCTGCCACAAAGCACAGCCTGAAGCCATTTCAGGGAGGGGCAAGTAGGGGCTGAAAAGTGCTGCCTGCAGAAGCCCTGTCCTTGGGGAGCAGCCATTTTTCTCAGGTGCATTCCCAGTTGGCCTGACCAGCTGATTGCTGGGAGCACCCCTGTTAGTTCCTTCCAGACACTACAAGCCTCCAAGGGGGAAAACAAGGAAAAAATCCTCATTTGCTATTTCCCAGCAATGTTGCTGCATTGGCCAGAAGCGGTGCAATCAGAACGGGAGGACAGTGGGCATAGAAGGAATTGAAAAATCCAAGTATTTTGGATACCTAAAGGAGAAAATGCCTTCATTAAATCTTGGCCTTGGCAAAGACCTTTCCAATCAGAAAGTGCAGTATGAGCAGAAACGGCCTACAAAGAATTCCCCTGGCTCCGACAGCTTTGCCTGTATCTTTCTGGTGGGGTCTGGAGCATTCAGGTGTCCCTACACAAAGTACCATTTCTTTCTTTGGGAGGAAATCTGATGGACATCCAGCCCACCCTGCTATCCCCAAGAGAATCCCCACCAGAGATACTAATCTCTCATGGCAATCCATCCGTGACTCCCAAGGCTTGGCCAAGTGTCCTTCAAATTCTCTCCAAGGATTCATTTCATCATGACAGCCTGCCTACCTTTTCCCAGGTATTCCTGTCCCTTCCAGGGTATGAACCTGTGGATTGGGGGTGCCAGGGCCTCTCTTGGACTCTGCTGCTGCTGGATGTCTCCCGCAGGCAGCAGGAGCTCTGGCTAGACTGTGTCCCTGTGTCCCTGAAGCGCTGCTTGGGGCAACGACTGCGGGCACAGTGCCCCAGACATAGCCCTGGCCTCAGCCAAAGGTTCTGGAAACTTCATCTGCCTTGGAGCTTCTTGCCATTTAAGCTCAGAGCACGCAGTGCAGTGGAGCACTAAGCCCAAGCACAACCTGTTTGGATGCTGTTTCCACAGGAAGAGCACTCAGGAAGATCAGAGTTTCCCTGGGCTGAGACAGTCCCATGTCTTCAGCCCTTTGCATTCCCTTACCTCAGCTGTGGTCAGCAGATTCTCTGGATCAAGCAGAGTCTGCAACAGCTCCATGACCTGATCAGCTCTTCCAAATGCAATAGCATGATGGCATAACATCTGCTGCATGAGCGCACAGATGAGGTCGGTACCCTGCAAAAAACACAGACAAAGAAAGCCCTAAATAATTACAGTGCATTGGGTTTCCTGGTTTCTACCAGTTTGGTTTGTTTCTTTTAATAAAAATTAAAATTAAATATAAAAATTGGCATTTTGTTTGGCTGGTTTGTTTCCCATTTGCCCTTGGACTGGACTATCCAAGCACCTCCAAACCACTTTTACTTACATGGTCCCTTTGCTGGGCCTCTTGCATGACAAATTCTTGGACCAGGAATGGACAAAAGTCGACAAGATAAGACAAGATATCTGTGGCAGCAGATGCCACTTGCAGATCATCCATTCCCTAAGAAAAAAACAGATTAATTTGGTAGGGTAAATCAGGTTTGCTGTTTCTCATCAGCTAAAGCTGCAAAGAAAAGGGAGTGAAAGGTTTTGGGTAGGTTTCATTGCCAAGTTTCTCCGAGAAACGCAGTAATATAGTTCAGAGAAGCAACAATAAACCAGCAACCTCTTTTGCCCACTCTCTGCCTCCTTTACAAGGGACTCAAGGCTTTCTGTGAATCCATGAGTCCTCATTTAAGCAGGAACCCTTCCCATCGTGCCACTTCCTGGCTGGAAGAGCTGAGACACTGATCTTCTGTACCTGTTAACTACAACTGATTCCTTTTGTATCAATGGACCAATTGTACAAATCAGTCTGTCTCATTCTTCTCCTCACTTCTTCTCATCCAAATGGATTGTAAGCCAGACTAAACAACTCCAGTCCCTGTCTTGTTGTGGGGGTAAGTTAAAGGTGGTTAAGCTTAAGTTTGCCAAGGAAAGTTTGTGATGGGCCTTCCTTTGCCTGGATGTTGTTAAAAACTTGGCAAGTGTCTCATTCTGCCTTCATGTCCTCAAGCTTACAAGTCAAAGGTTGTTCTTGAACTTGCTGGGAATGTTAGTGTTTCTCCCACACAGGGCTGTGAGGGCTCAAACAACCTTCCCCTAAAGCTGATGAGTTGAGCAGGGCAGAACAGATGTTTTGCTGGCAGTGCTGTGCCCTGCTCAGTTCCCAGGTTGTTCCTGCAGCAGAGAAAGCCCCTGGAATCTGGTGTTTGTGAGGAACAGCAGCACTGAGCCTGGATTGCAATGGTCAGGTGGCAAGAGCTGCCCCAGCCAAAGGAGGGACAAAATTCTGGTTTCCCACTGCTGCTCAGGACAGAGAAATCTGCTGCTGCCAGGAGGACAGGATCTACTGGGAAGGAATGAGCCAACAGCTCCAGAGGAGCTAAAAAGACTTCTCTGGCCCTGGTCCAAGCACAAGCACAGCAGCCCTGGGGAAACAACACCAATGCAGCTGCCCAGACAAAGAGTCTTTTTCCATCTTAACTCTGCCTTGTCCTAAGGACTGCACTGAGCACAGAACTTGCCCATGGTGCAGTCACAAGAATCAGGGCAACCCAGGCAGGTGCTTGCAAGAGCTGAGAGAGCTTTGGCACTGGGGCTGATGCAATCCACTTCCACTCTCAGCAGAGCCAAGGTGTGCAAGCAGAGGGACACACACGTGCTCAGCAGGTCCAACAAGTGTGCCAGTGGCTCTGGCCTTTCCTGCTTTAAGGAAGAGCAGCTGGAAGTTTTCACTTACCAGCAGAATTTCAAGAGCAGGAAGAAGTCCCAGCTTGGCCAAGCTTTGTAAAAATGCCCCTCCCTTCTGGTGAAACATGAGGGAAAAGGCACAGAAGTCCTTCAGAAAGTTCACCTGTTGCATTGGAAAAAGAATTTCCGGTGTCTTGGAGTAAGACAGCTCTCTGAAAGGAGGAAAGTGTTACAATTTCTAGCAGAGTTGGGATGCTGGTTGGACCTTCCTAGAGAGTGGTCTTCTTCTCGCAGTGTCTTCTCCAAGCTTTGCCAACACCAACAAAGCAAAGCCATGGAAAGGAAGCACACAGAGAAAGAAGAAATCTGTCACTTGGCCTTAACCTCAGAAAGACAGTGATACAGAAATAAAGTTCTCTGGGATGCTGAAACATTCTGGGAAGAAAGCAGAGCTTGAAGTCGAGCATGTCAGCTCCGTGCTGGTCCTTTCTACACAAGGAAATCCTGATTTACAACAAAGACATCAGAGCTTACATTGCCAGAAATATTTCTTTAAGTGAGGACTGAAATGGAGATTGAGCTGCACTGGCAAGGATTCCTGGATTTCAGAAAGGCCTCAAGGACTGCAGAAGACCTCAAGAGCAGTTTCCCTTTCTCTGCTTCCTCCCTCTCTTTTCAAGCCCGTGAGCTCTGACTCACCAGTTCCCATCGCTGGTGGTCACCTGTAGCTCCATCTGCTAACTGGGCCAGAACTTCTGACCAAAATTTCTGGTCTTTCTGCGGAACACAAAAAAGGAACACAACTGACACGGGCCCTCTGGAAAGGCAGAACTTCCATCTTGAAAGGATTCCACACTTCCTCAAGCCCAACTCCATTCACTGTAGCCCAACAAAGGCCAATGCCAGAGTACACAGATCCTGTAGGATCCTTCCTTCCCAGGGCATTGTTTCAGCAGTGTCTGTGTGCAGCAGAAGCAGAGGCAGAAGGCGAGAGCCACAGAGGAAGCTGAGCTCAGGGGAGGCTCCCAAAAAGTGCAGCTCCCAAGAGCCAGCTGAGACACAGTTTGTCCCATGTGGCACCTGCCCCGTTCCCCCTGCCCTGAGAACATCCCACAGGGATCCCTTTCCCTCTTGTGCCGCTGCAACCCTGCAAAGCATCTTTTCAGGCTCCCCAGACAAGGTGGAGCAGATGAACAGGTTCCCAGCTGGCTGCAGCCATGGCCTGGTTGCCTTCCCTCACATTCAAACCAGCTCCCCCCTTGCAGATGATCTGCTCTGCATTTCTGCCCCAGCCTTGGCTTGATACAGTCACAGCCTCTCCTCCCAAGAAACACTTCAGGACCTCTAGGACAGAGCTCCCTTCTGGCCACGAATTTCAGTTCTCCCATTGCTTTAAGCCTCCAGAGGGACAAGAAAACCAGGCTGAACAAAGTCACCATCATCATCATCTCTCAAGGCTTTAGACGCTTTCTCCCCTCTCTGTCCCCGCATTTCTCGTCACTTCTTCCCGTGGGAAGCAGCGCTGGCAGTGTTCTCCCTGAGCCTGCTCTTTGGCATCTCAGGTTCAGAATGAGTTCCACAGACATTACACCTGGCCCTGAGAGGGAATCCCAAAAGCTCCTTGTTCCCCAGCTCCCCCCACAAACCAGCTCCAAAGCAGTCTGTTGCTTGGCCATCAAAGCGAAGAACTTGAGACTCTTGACAGCCCATTCAGGAATCTCTAGATCCTTCCCCGAGCTCTTCCCTTTCTAAACTACAGAATCCAAGGGAGGAGAAAGAAGGGGGATCATTCCCATCATGTGCTCGTGACAGCATGTCTGAGGAACAGTGAGCCCTTGGCAACTCCAGCTGCAGGTCCCGAGCCATTAAGAGCAGGTCAGAAGGCACTTACCTCCAAGACATGGAAGATCTCTTTTTTGCAGCTGATGAAGGAGGTGAGGCTGGGCAGAGAACCCTCTCCCAGCCCAGCTGCCTTGGGCAAGATGACAGCCTTAATATACTGTGCCCAGTAGATCTGGTGGAATTTTTGCCGGAGCTCAGGGTCTCGCATGGGAAGAAGCTCCTTCAGCTTGGTTGTTCGCTGCAGGAGCTGCAGGTGCCATTTGGGCTGTGCCAAAGAGGGGCCATACTCAAGGAATTTGACCACATCCATGATACACTCCTGGAACAGTATCACCTCCAGCAGAGCTGCTTGGTCAAGCCGCAGAATTCCTTGCATAATGGCTGACAAATGCTGCAAGGCCTGTCTGAGCTGTAACCCCTTGCAGATTTGGAAAAGCTTTAAGAGTTTGGGAATGTAGCCTTCCTTCTGCAAGGCCAGTGCCAGCTTTTCCCTATGGCTGGCTGAGGAGAGAGCAGAGGTGATCAGCTCATCAACCTCTACCAGTCTGTGGGTCTTGCAGGGCTGATCCCAGAGCCAAATTCTTGCCTTGAAGTGTGGCTGGGCACTGGGCCAGGTTGCCCAGAGAGGTTGTGGACTTACCAGGCCAGGAGGTGTGCAGTGGGTTGACCCTGACTGGATACCAGGTACCAGACCAGGTACCACCAGAGCAGCTCTGTCCCTGCCTGGTGCACCTGGACAGGGCAGAAAAAATAGAACCAAGGGTCCCTGGGTTGAGATAAGGACAGGGAGAGATCCCTCCCCCTTCAGCATCATGGGCAAAACTGCCTCAGTTTTTGGATATCGATTGAACTGACTACACCATCATCAGGGCAGGATCATGAGAAACCAAACAAATCTCACAGTCACTTTTCCCCCAGCCCTCCCTCCTTCCCAAAGTCTCCCTCATCCCCCTCCAGTGGCACAGGGAGATGGGAATTTGGGTTTTGGTCAGTTCATCCCACATTGTTGCTGCTGCTGCTCAGGGAGAGGAGTCAGAGTCCTTGCCCTGCTCCAGCATGGGGTCCCTGCCACGGGAGACTGTTCTCCAGGAACTTCTCCAACTGGAGTCCATCCTACAGGAAACAGCTCCAAATGGGTTACTCTTCCTCAGATCAGTCCTTCAGGCCCTCCTGCTCCAGCCTGGGTCCCCCATGGGCTCCGAAGGCCTTGCAGCAAACCTGCTTCAGCATGCAGGGCTCCTCTCTGCATGGCTCCATGGGCCCCTGCCAGGACCTTGCACAGCAGGGGCTTCCCAGGGGCTCAAGCCTCTCTCAGGCACCCCCCTGCTCCAGGGGCTGCAGGTGGATCTCTGTCCCCTGTGCCCTCCATGGGCTGCAGGGGCACAGCTGCCTCTGCATGGGCCATGCCATGGGCAGCAGGGAAATCTGGACCTGGTGGAGTTTGTCCCAAATTTCTGCACAGCTGCTTTCTCTGGAAAACTCTGCACTAAATCCCATCAGTCAGGGATTCACAAGGCAGGGCTTGGCCCTAAGTAAGCCCCCTGCCCACAGGCTGTTACTGCCCGTGCACCAGTACCCACAAGTCCTTCCCCTCAGTGAACACCACTGGTTTGCTTGAGGTCTAAACAATATTTTTGATGTCTTGATTAGTTTTGGTCACTGCTTTGGGCACCTTTGGTCCCATCTCAGCGCCCCAGGTCACTCTTTGGCTGGACCTTCAAGTGTGAGCATTCCTGATTGTTAAAAATGGCCAGATAATATTGGCTTTCACATTTATCTATTAGCTTTTGCATGTTGTTATTGACCATAAGTATTTAGATATGGTACAAATTATAACTTTTTTAGCTGCTTGTTAATATAATATAATTCATCAGCATATGTACTGTATTGCTCATGGAAATAGTAGTGTAATGAATATGATATCTATGGTATCGCTTATAGAAATAGTAGTGTCATGAACGTGTTGTAGTATAGACCTTAGCAAAACATAAGATGTGAAAAGGCTTTTGTGTAACTAAGAACAGTGCAAGGCCATCCACTGACTCACCACGCAAGTGATAACAGTGACACAAGACACAGCACCTGAGGAGCCTGGGGAAGAGCTTGGTAACTCCTCTTATCAGAAAAGTGTGAAACAACAGGGATGAAATTACAGGAAGGAATAAAATTTATTGACTTGATCTCAGAATGTCATGCAGATGAGTCAGGATGGGAAACCTAAACATGAAGAGCTCCTGCAACATCAGAAGCTCTTGGGAATATTTAAATAACGTACAAGCTAATGAATATGCAGGTAACCCCAGCAATGTAACCTTCTGTAGAGAACATGATTTTAAGTTTTTGCCAAATAGCCAAAGGCATGCTCTTTGGCTATTTGTCAAAAGCACCCCAGCACTGGGAATATTGTCCTTTTTTATCCTGTTATCCTACTATTGTCCTTTTTTACCCTATTATTAAACTCTTAAATATTCTAAAGAGTGAACTGTTTTTCACACCGAGTGCCCCCTGAGGCAGAGCCCAGCCGGTTTCAGCTGCCCTGTGCAGATATTGCTGTGCTGAGCAGGCTCTGAAGCCGAGCAGGCCCTTCACTCCTTCGGGAAATGAGCCTGCCCAGGGTGAAACTGCCCGGTAGAATCAGGCCTGGCTGGGGGAGCTGAGCCATGCAGAGCAGAGGGTGCCAGCCCTTCTCAATGCCACATCATGCTGTGGTACAACTCGAGCTAGCTTGGGAGCCGTGGCACTGCCTGCTGTGCCTCAGGGAATGGTGGAATCACAGGCCCTTGCTGCTGGAAAAGCTCCCCGAGACCATCGAGTCCAACCATTCCTCCAGAGCTGCCACGCTCAGCACTAACCCATGTCCCCGAGTGCTACACCCACATCTGTCACGTGAAAAGGGATTTTCTATACTGTTAGTGTAGGGAGAGTTACTTGACCTTTGGTGTTTAATTTGTCTCGGTGCCCCAGGAGAGCCGAGCCCTTGTGCCCGAGCAGTCTGTCAGTGTCCTGTCAAGGGGAGCCTCCCCTGGCCATCCTGCTGGATCCTGGTGGTGCCACTGACCTGCTCCAGCATAAGGGAGAGCCCTCAGCAGCTCTTCCCACTTTCTGACTCCGCAGGGGCCCTTCCTTTTTACTGAGTATATTCCCTGCTGCTGGTGACAGCTGGTGCTGGGGAAGGACTCACCCTCAGAGTTCACAGAATAACTCCCTTTACTGATATAAAACTGTGACAGATTGTAGTTCGAGAATTGTCCGTGATAGTACCTGTCAGTGATAGGATTTGTCACTGATAGGATCTGACTGCATAAACGTGTTCAAAGCAATCCCCAGACAAGATCTAATCCCCAGTTAAAGCATTCAATGTGCACAGAGTGCAGTTCTTACCCAACAGGTCCTGAAGGGAAAGAAGGCAGGTTCACCTGTTGACTGAGCCCAGCAGTAACTATGGAGTCTTCCCTCAGTTTCACCCCCCCATTCTCAACAGTTTATTCCTGTTTAGGTGGAACTTAAGTGACATAAGTCATGCAGGCCTTTATGTGTAAAATTCTTTTGCTTTGCTTTGCTTTGAAAGATAGTCACAAAAACCACCCCAGTGAGGGATGGTCACACTTTGGGGAGGGTACCTTTGGGATGGAGGGGTGTGTTAATGATACAATTAGACTTTAATGAACCACATTTATCAGAGGAGAGCATTTTCACCCCAGCTGTTGGCTCGGAAGCAGGACATTTCCTCCTCCCTGACGTGGCTGGCAGGTGCTGAGCAGTTTCCCAGCTGCAAAGCACCATCGAGTTTTTTCTAATATCCAACCTGAACCTTCCCTGGGGAAACTTGAGATCACTTCCTCTTATCCTGTCCCTTGTTCCCTGGAAGAAGAGACTGACCCTCCCCTGGCTATAAGTCCCTGCACAGAAAACTCCTGCTCTCCTGCATCCCTGGGCTCTGCTGGGTGCTGTTGGAGAGATGGGAAGGCTGCAGCAGGTGAGAGGCAGAGGAACAGCCCCAGGCAGCCGCAGGTTACAGAGCCTAAGAGACACCACTCTGCCACTGGGGAGACACTGGGAGGTGAGCTGGGATGGCTCTGGGCTCTCTGCACTCCCTGAAGGTGCCGAGAGTGTCTCTCTGCCTCACAATGCATCCTGTGCCAGTGCTGGAAGAGGCCAGGCCTGGGCCCTGCTCCCTCTGCAATGGGGTTCTTCACTAGCCTGCTCCCCTTCAGGCCTCCTCAGAGCAAAGACCAGAGATGGCGTTTCCAGCAGTAGAATTGGGGGATACAGGGATCCTTTCTGAAGCTGACAGGCAGCTTTTAATCCACTTGCTCTGCTTCCTCTGGAGAAAAGAAATAGGAGTAGGAGAACCTCTGAAACCTGGCAGCCCCTGCCTTGCTCCTATGGGATGGAGGGAGGCTGGAGGAGGCAGGTCTGCCCAAGTCTGCTGCAGGTTGGCATCTGCAGCACCATCTCCTGCACCCTGGCTTAGACACAGCCTCTGAGCCATCTGGCAGAGGCTTCCCAGCCCCCAGGGAAAGGATGCTCATTCCCAAATGCTGCGGTGACATCAGCTCTGGGATATGTCTAATGCTCTACAAGGCCTCACGGATCCCTGTGGGAGATCCCTGGCCACCAGGAGCAGCTGCAGGTGGTGATGTTTAGGTTGACAGGTGCTTAACATGAGTGGTCAGTGTGCCCAAGTGGGCAAGGAGACCAGTGACATCCTGGCTTGTACCAGCCATGGTGTAGCCAGCAGGACCAGTGCCCATCCCTCTGTGCTGGCACTGCAGAGGCACCTCTAGTCCTGGGGGCAGTTCGGGGGCCCTTATGGCAAGAGAGACACTGAGGGGCTGGAGCATGTCCAGGGAAGGGAACAGAGCTGGGGAAGGGGCTGGAGCACCAGGAGCGACTGGGGGAGCTGGGGGGGATCAGTTCTGAAATATGAGTCTCCTCGAGCCAGGTCTCATGAGCTCTTGGAGATCTGTTTCACACCCAAGGATAGCTCAGCTACCTTAGAAGGCATAAAATCAGTAGGATGGCTTCTGTGGTAGTGAAGGAAACAAAAAGGTTTTAATAAAAGGCAAAATAACAAACTCTATACAGAGAAAAACCCATCCAGGTGCAAGAGGCCCTCCTGCCCCTGGAAAAACACCTCACAAAAGCCATTAGTTTCTTTGTTCTCTTCTTTTTCTTTGCTCAGGCGGGACTTTTTGACTTCTGTCCAATTAGCTATCCTTAAGTGTGAGGTGAAGTCCCCCAGGTCCTATGAGATGCCTTTTCACCTAATTGAGGAGAGAAACTTCTGGGCTTATTTCCTTTTTAAGGGGACAAAGGATAGTTTTGTCACTCTGTCAACAGAGGGCACATTCCTATACAGCTTGAAGGAAAAGGAGGCTCAGGGGGAACCTTCTCATTTTCTACAACTCCCCAACAGGCAGCTGGAACCAGGTGGAGGTCTGGCTCTTCTCCCAAGTGGGAGGCAACGGGACAAGAGGAAATGGCCTCCAGTTGTGCCAGGAATTTCTTAGCCCAGAGTTCACAGCAAAATTCCTGTGGGATCTGGTGCCAAAGCTTTCCAGGTCCAAAGGAAGCAGCTCCCTGCTGCCCTTCCAGTCCTCCTCCCTTCCTGCCAATTTCAGTTGCACAATCCCAGCAGCTCCAGCAGCCTGGGCTCCCCAGCTCCTGCCAGCAGAAGTCCTGCCCCCTGCCTCGGGAGAGGAGTGGGAGGAAGGGTCCCTAAGCCCCAGAGAGCGGCCATCAGGCTCCTCGTGTCAGCTGCCTGTTCTTCAGTACCCTCTTCCATTTGTCAAGGAGAAAAAGGCCAGCCCAGGCCAGAGAAATTCAATGGGAGCCTTTGCCTCGCCTCCCTCAGCAATCCTGTCCATGGCCACTGCCATCAGGAGCACTGGAGTATTCAGCTTCTCTCCAGCCTCACCTGCTGCAAGGGCTGCCAGATCCTCATGGAGTACAGACGCCCCAGGGGCTCCCAGGGCAGCAGCTCAGGGTGGGAAGCCATTTAGCCTCCAGTAAAACGGTTCCATTCTCCTGACTTCCCCTCCAGGAGCTTCCTGTGCAGCTGCTCCTGGAAGTGGCAGCCTTTTGCTGACCTCCAGGTCCAGGGAACAGAACACTGATGGATGGAATCTTCTTGGAATCTTCCAGGGCACTAAAAATGCCTAAGAAAGGGAAGATCCTTTCCTTGTCTGGTGCCACCTGACTGCTGACCCTGTGTGGGTTTGCTGAGATCAGGTAGGGTGTCCCACTCCCATCCCTGCCCTCCTCCACAGGCTCAGGGGGAGTGCCACAGGGGGACAGATTCAGGACACTGTTTCCCAAGGGGACGGAGAACGGGAGTTCACACCCCAGCAAGCTGCAAATCCAACAGGGATGAGCACGTGAGGGGACAGCCAAACTCCAGCTGGGATGTGGGGTCCTGCCAGGGTTCTGAGCACAGAGCAGCAACCAGAAAGAGCATTCAGGGTGGCTCAGGCTGCAGGGCCTACACATGGATCACCCTTGGCCTTTCAGGGTGTAAACAGCATCCCCTGGAGCCTTGGAATTGTTCATCACAAGGTCCTGGGCCTTCCTGGGCTCCTGTACTGCCCTGGCATAGAAACATGCAGGAAAAGGGAAAAGCAGCTTTGCAGCCCTGCAGCCACACTTTCTGTAGGCTGTTCTGGGAGTGTTTGGACTCAGAGGGACACATGTGAGGGTACAGAGGGTGTGGGACATCAGGGAAGGGCACCAGTGTCTCTGCTCCTGCACCGCTTTGGCCTCTTTGCTTCTCAGAGCTCTCCCTTCACAGGGAGCCAGACTCCCACCTGTCCTCCAGCTGTGCTGGGAGTGTTTCCCAACACCTCTGCAGCCTTTCCCATGCAGTTTGGGGCTGTGCATTTTTCTCCACCCCATGTGTCTGCACCCAGAGCAGCACTGTTGTGGTGGGTTCCCATGGGAGCCATTCCCAGAAAGTCTCTCCTCATCCCCTGCTCTGCAATTTGTTATGAGAGACTCATAATCCCAGCCTAGGCTGGGTTGGAAGAGACCTCAAAGCCCATGTTGTCCCACCTGTCCTGCCAGGGACACCTTCCACTACCCCAGGTTATTCCAAGCCCCATCCAACCTAGCCTTTGACACTTCCAGGGATGGGGCAGCCACAGCTGCTCTGGGCAACCTGTGTCAGGGCATTACCACCCATATTGTAAAACAATTCTTGCTGAAATCTTATAAACTCCTTTTTATCTGTGGAAAAGTTACAATAAGGCCTCCCTGGAGAATCCTCTTCTCCACATAAACACCCCCAGCTCTCCCAGAGGGGCTCCAGAGCAGAGGGGGGCTCCGGCCCTCAGAGCAGCTCTGTGGTCTCCTCTGGGCTCGCTCCAGCAGCTCCACATCCTTCCTGAGCTGGAAGCCCACAGTCCTGCAACGTCTATTTTAATTTAGAGGAAAACGTTCAGCAGAACAAAATAGCGCCGAAACATCTGGGAAGTGCTCCCTCCGCCTGGGAAGCAGCCTGGGGCTCTTATGGCCCCGGAGGATCCTTCCCCTGGTGGTGGGATGCGGCTCCCGGGCAGCGTCAGGAGGTGCCGGGGCTGTCCGGCCGTGCGGCCCCCCCCAGCCCGTGACATCAGTGCCGCCGCCGCCCCGCGACCCGCCCTGCCCCGCCAGCGACAAAAGCGCCGAGCGGCGCCGGCCCCAGCGCGGCACCGACACCGACAGCGGCACCGACACCGAGCCCCACACCGACCCCGGCTTTGACACCGACCCCGACGCCGGCACCGACCCCGGATTTGACACCGACGCCGGATTTAACACCGACCCCGACACCGTCCCCCGCCCGGCCGCAGGTGGGTGCTGGACGGAGGCGGCCGCCGGGTCCCGCCGAGCGCAGCGGAGCCGCCTCCCCTCCCGTGCCCGGGGCTGCCGCTCCGCCAGCCCGGAGCTGCCTCTATCCCTCCTCCATCCCCTGAGGATGCCCCATCCGCGCCGCCCCCGGCCCGGCGGGCCGCAGCGGGGGAGACGCGGGGCTGGGGAGGGGCACGGCCCCGCCGTGTGCCCGCGGGGTGGGCACGGGAGCGGTGGGACCCCCTGAGGCCGCTCCCGGTGCCGGAGCAGCCGCGCACATGGCGGGATGCGGAAGCCAAAGCTCTTGCATCAGATCGACTGAACTCTGAAGCTAATTTCCAGGGAGCCCGGGGCAGATCAGTGTGGGCTCAGGTCGGTTCGCAGAGGAGATTTGCAGTGTTGGGCACCAGGCTGGGCACGGGCTCGAGCACAGCTCCAGGTGCTGCTTTTCAACCTCAGAGCCCTCAGCCCGTGGGAGGCGGTTCAGGAGCACTGGGCAAAAGCACCGGATTCTACCAAGTCCCTGCATCAAATCTTCTGTCTCTCCCTGCCTGAGAAAGGGCCAGTGCTAAAATAGTGTGAGGGGTGAGGCTGCTCCTCCTGGCTCTACAGCTTGGGGAAGGGTGAGAGGAGAGGCCCTGCAAGGAGCAACTGTGGTCATTTGGTCTGTTCCTGCTGGAGCAGAGGAGTCTGAGGTCAGAGCTCCCTGGGGTCTGCAGCTTCCTCCCGAGGGGCAGCAGGGGGACAGCTCCGATTTCTGCTCTCTGTGAGATGGGACAGGACCCCAGGGATGGGCTGGATCTGTGTCAGGGGAGATTTAGGCTGGATATCAGGGAAGGGTTCTTCCCCCAGAGGGTGCTGGGCACTGCCCAGGCTCCCCAGGGAATGGGCACGGCCCCGAGGCTGTCAGAGCTCCAGGAGTGTTTGGACAGCGCTGCCAGGGATGCCCAGGGTGGGATTGTTGGGGTGTCTGTGCAGCGGCAGGGGTTGGATGTGATACTTGTGGATCAATTCCAGCTCAGGATGTTCAGTTATTCTGCTGGGGGTGAGGCTGGCAAAGTGGGCTCTGGGGAGGATTCAGCCCTTCCCAAGGAGCTCAGGGCCGCTGCTGCACAGACAGCTCAGGGCTGTGCTGCTCCAGTGGGTCACGGGCTCTGTGCCAGCCTCTGCTGTCCCCTGGATCAGGAGCTCTCCAGGCAGGATGGCAGTGTCTGGGAGCTGCCTGAGAGCATCTGAGCTCAGCTCCCTGCTCCTGCAAGGCAGCACCAAGCGGGGAGGATGTGACCAACTGGGGCATTTCAGGGCTTGGGGAAGCCCAAGTGGGCTCAGTCCAGTGATGGATCTTGATCCCTGTGGGAGTCAGGAGCTTTTCTTAGCACCCCTGAAAATGCTGTTGCTTTTGTTCTGGATCAAGTTGGGATTTTCATGGAGGACCCTGCTTCCAAGGAGACACAGTCTTAAGCTGTGCCAAGAGGTTGGATATTAGGAAAAAGTTTTTTATGATCAAGTAGTGGAATGGCCTGCCATTCCAGGGAGTCACCATCCCTGGATGTGTTTAAAAAGAGACTGGATGTGGCACTCAGTGCCATGGTTTAGTTGAGGTGTTGGGGCTGGGTTGGACTCGATGATCTTGAAGGTCTCTTCCAACCGGAATGATTCTGTGAATTCTGTGAATTCTTTGTAAGCCAAGCTTGGGAGCTGTGTGCACAGGCAGAGGCCCGTGGCTGCGCCAGTGGCTCAGCTCTGTGCTGGCCTCTCTCAGGCCCCTGCTCTGCAAAGCCAGCCTGAGGCTGCCTTGGTGGCAGAATCATTTGATTGCTGCTGGAGTCAAGCCTGACTGCTCTTGGAGTCATAGAGTAGATGAGCCACATGTGAGCATCACTCTCGAGCTCAGAGTCTCTTGACTTCCTTTCCTCCTATCCCAGCAAAGCCCTCAGAGGTGTCTGATGTGATCCAGCTGCATCTCTTGGGGCAGTTCTGTGATTTCTCCCTGGTAATTCCCAGTGGTTTTCCATGTCTTTGAGCTCACCAGCCTCAGGTCCCCATTCTCTTGCTCACCAGTTCAACATCACTGGGTCACACATGACCTTCATTTATCCTTGTTTACACTGTTGGTGGTCCAGAGTCTGCTCACATCACTGCTCCTGCCAGCTCATGACACAGCAGGGGACAAGGGGACAGTTCTAGCTTTCCCCTTGTGGAGCTATTCCCACCTGTGCCCAGGTGATGGGGAAGCTGCTCTGTGACAGTTCCTGTGTGCCTGGGGCAGAGTCCCCCATGGGTCTGACTGCAGGTCCCGATGCTGAACCCCTGGTGCCATGTCCCAGGGCTTTCCCAGGGGATGTTCCCTGGTCTGTCCCTGGGAGCTGGTTCCTCTCTGCCCACCTCTCATCTGTGTGGGACCCTCTTGCTTCACATTTCTGCCTACTTTATGGCCATGCCAGCTGCTCTCTAAACTGGAAGGCACTACTCAGATCCCTGGGTTTGGGGCTCCTGCTGTGGCTTCCTCCCCTTTGACTCTTCCCTTTGCCAGGGCATGGATTAATTCTGCCTGGACTGCTGTGAACGTGCTTAGGAGTGAATTTGTGCAGCACTGATGGTGCTCTTCTGTCATTCACTTGTTTTAATGCTCTCATTTGGAAAAAAGGAACTTTTTGTATGGGTAAGTATGAGTCTGCTGTTCCTCCAAACACAAAGTGATTGCTCTGCAATTAACTACTCTAGGATTTTAGCAGGGCACAGACACGGGAAGAGGCTGTTTTGCTATTGCAGAAGGTTGGATGGTTGAGCTGACATCTTGGTGGCTGCAGGGATGTTCCTCAGAGGACAGCTAGGACCTGCCTTACCCTGGGTACTTCCATGGCTGTGGAGCTGCATCCACACAGCCACAGGCGCTGCTCCAGCTGCAGCAGTTCCCACCCAGCTGCTCTCAGGATGGCAGGGTGGAGGGTGTCAGCTTTGAGGGCAGTGACAGGAGCACGCTGACCTTTCAACCCACTTGAAAAAGAGGATGACTGTGTTTCTGCTGCCTGCTGGCTGCATCAGCCCACTGCTTCCTCTTACAGCCAGTGATCACATCCCAGAGCACCGGTACATACTGGTTCCATACTGGTTTATGCCTGGTTGTTACGCTGCTCCCAGACTGGTACAACACAGCACCTCTGAAATGTACGT